CCCAGAGGTTGTTTTTAGGGTTCGATCTGTGAGTTAGCCGTGCCCTGACTTTGATCAGCCCAGAGGTTGTTTTTAGGGTTCGATCTGTGAGTTAGGTCTTGCAGATCAGCTTAGAGGCCGTATTAATAAAATGTGATGTATCCTAAGAATATAAGATGAAACGAGTGCACGCCACCACGATACAACGTGCAATGCAACTTGTGTGTATGCACAACCTTGCAGACTGAAGTAGGAGCGAGTTCTAGTACTTCTGCAAAGTTGCGCGTTTTCCATTTCCTCATATATGGTGGACACAATTTACTGGCTGGCAATGCTATGATGTTCTCAGCCAAGGAAATTTCGTTAGAGTAGATTCAAGGCGCTATTACACGGAGCAATTTTATCTACAACTTGTCTACAATATTGTCTACACGGTGCAACGGAGACGCAGTCGTTGCCAAAATTAGGAACGAATTCTACTTTTCGCTACGATTGCTGCAACTTGTCTCTCAACATTTCCAAGTTGCGCTGTAGGTTACACGCTGCAATGCTCCGTGCAGCTTGTGTCGCGACGCCCTTGCAAGACCATTTGCAGAGAAAATTGCTCCGTGTAATCGCGCTTTTAAGGTAGTATTCCTTGATTCATAGTTTATTGTTCAGGAAAAGTTGCGAGCAGTGCGCGACTGTCGGAGTGCGCGCAAAGTTGCTCCGTGTGTCATGACATTGATAATCGTACCTCCATCAGTGATACTAGTCTTCTCCTCAGTAATCGTAGTTCCACCACCAGCCTCTTTCCGTCTTTTCTGCTCTTCAAGTTGTTGACGCAACAGACTCAGTTGGCTTTTGTCTTGAATATCAATCTGTGGGCCCTCAACCCTAAAAAAGATGAGGTTTTTTTAATTAAAAAAAAGCGTTCTTAAAAATTCAAAGAATAACGATTGAAATATCTCCCTACACCCTGCCAAATTCAAGTCATAGCGCGTATTCATGCGCAAGGTGTGAAACATCGTCTGATACTTGGATTTCAAAAACTTTGTTGACAAGTAATAGGAAAGATTTTTCTGAGTGGGAACGTACAGTATTTTTTCTAGTCTTTCTTTCCTTCATTTTGATTGGATAAAACGTATCGTACTCTTCTCTAATTGGTTTATCAAAAAACCATTTCAATGTCAAGATACCATCAGTTCCCACTCAAATACAACCTGGTTTTTCTGTGTGTATGCGTGCATTTTGTACCCAGTGAATTCACGTGAATTTATTATACTACCACGAATACAGTACAATATTCAGTTCACAAGTAATTATCACTTATTATTTACAGATAAAAACCACTTTCAAGACAACAATCTATAAATACAGTGCTGAATAGTATCTAACAGTGCTCTACTACACTAAACCATTTACAAACAAATCACTGACAAAAGACTTTACATTTCATTTGGTATATTTATTAATTTTACAACTTACTTACGAACGTAGCCGCAGACAATGGTCTGTCATGCAAAAGGTGCGTGACAGACACAGAGGACGTCTGCGTACAAACGTGCACTCAAGGTCATTGGTTTTCGTGAACCAAACACCGTAAATCTGCTTCGACGTTACCCTTGACTTCAATTAATTTCTAACGTTTCTACTTTTCCCTCCTTCTTTTATTTCAACAAAAAATAACTCTATCTTCTCTTTTTTCTTTCTCGTCTTTTCGTTTACCTTCAAATCTTTTCCTTTCTTAGCGCTAGCATTACCCTTTAAGGAATTGGATGGTTGCGAATTTGCAAGAGTGCTTAACATATATCCGTGTAAAAGTTGACTAACAAAATTGTACAAATTCGTGTAAAGTTTTTTAGGTCTACTGAGGTCTACTGAATTTACTAATTTGTGCAAATGTTTTACAAATTTTTCATGGATATATGGTATGCACTCTATTTCGAAAACTATTAGACATTGAGTGGATCTACGAGATCGACAACATAGATATTTTGTACAATCCTCTATAGTGATTATATAGTACAAAAAATTTACAAGAGCCAAGACATGCGAAATAACGTGAACGCACAAGTGGACGACGATTTCTGGTTAGTAGATGCGAAACACTATGAAACATTATGGCTATGTTAAGAAGACATGCATGCGATGACAAGGACGATAGCGAGCGTTGGAGGAATGAATACCATGTACCGTGTGCAGAGAGTTGAGAAACATCCCATGAGCCCCAATGCATTCTGGTCTATTTTTGGCACAAAATTTATGCCTTATATGGTAAGCTCTCTCAACATGCCCTTATATGGGGCGATTGCTAATCATGCCTTATATGGTGCTGTTTTAATATTATATCCCGAAATGTTAGACCTTATTCGTCGTGGTGTGATGTTTCCTCATTTCAGACCACGTGTCATTCTCTAGAGTATTATTTCTTTGTTTAACGGTTGCGCGTGAAAAGACACATGAATATAGATAAAACGCAAACAAAGCAATCTTTTTATCTAGGAATACACGTGGTCTGTAATGGATGGAAAAACATTGCAACACAACAAATAGACCTCTTACATGTAACGTCAAAGCAGCTCAATTTGGAGGAAAAACCAAAAGAATTTCAATCTCCTGAGAATTGAAAACCAATTGTTACGTCGTCCACCAAATTGAGCGGCATTCAGACGTAGTGCAAGGGGTCTATAGAGCCATTACAGCACTTTGTACCACAACTAGACCAGAAAACACCTTGCATATCAACCCAGAAAAGGCCTAAGACGGGATGTGTCAGAGAAATTGTCGCGGACGAAAAAATTCACTTTTACGAAGTTTTAAGGAAGAAAGACTGGTAACGACCCCGTGGCGCGTGGGATTGTGGGGTTGAATTTGTGGAGGCCAGGTGGCAGAGTTTTAATCGCCTCCATAAATTTGGCCCAACAATCCCACGCACCACGGGGTCGTTATCAGTCTCCCTCTGAACTTCTAAAGCGAATTATACGTGTCTCTGGAGTGAGGATTATTCGAGTGTTTATGATAAAATTATTTTATGTTTTATGTCGATATGGGTAAGTTATATTAATGTTCTTTAATGATGTTTCATGGGTTATACGTGTTTAGTACTTATGTTTAATGGGTGTTCATGCGATGTAGTTTAGAAGTGAAGTGGCTCAGTTTACAATACATTCTTATAATATTTTATAATTTTAAATATCCTTTTTATGTTTATTTTATTGCTGAGTGGATTAACAGTTGTCATATTCTGTATTCATCCCATGGGAACCCTGTGCACAGTACATCTCACTAGTTCGCGGTCTTGACGGATTTTTACAACACCAAACAGTTCTACAGTGCAGTGCAAGAAGATAAGTGAAACAGTAGTACTCCATCCACGGCTCGCTATACGGGATACAGAGGTAAGAATTAAAATTAGAATTACATACTTAACAAATACAGAATATTATTGAAGAATAGAACCAAGCTCTCCCCGCTGCACTGCACCCCGCTTTACTACACACTCGATTACAGTTCTACATTTATATTAGCCGCTGTAGAAGCTCGGCTGTCATTTTTTATACCTCTCCTAGCGGTGCTCACTAGGTTCCGGAGAATATTCCTCCTCGCTTCGGCTATCGATTCTCTTGACTGCCGCATTGCCTGAGGCAGGAAGTAAGAGAATCTGGAACTCTTGTGTGGATTCTGGATTTCCGGATCTGAATTTGTGTAAATTTCTGGTACATGATGAGTTAAAATTAGTTTTCTTACTGATGGCAAAATTTTCGAGAGACGTTTCTTCATTCGCGCTCACTCGTTGGTAAAGCAAATTTATGCCGAGGCAGAGTCGGTTAACTACCGAAGTGGGCCCGAAGATAAAATGGCTGCTGCCGGAGCAGGGGAGGAGGAATAGCCTCTGAGATCCAAGTTATTCTATCTAGTGTTGCTTTAGCAAAGCGTTTATGAGATAAACCCGACCCATCAGCAAAGCTTTAATCGTCTGTCCACAAATTAAACGAACAATGACGAAGATAAAAACAAAAAAACAAAAAGCGACATAAAAGGAACACTAACTGACAGGTTAGAAACCCACAGCAAAAATACGAGATTAGCAGTCACATCCTCATATATATGTAAAGCCATTAGATCAGGGAAGAGGAAAGGAAACCTCTCCCTCTAAGCTCCCCGATCCCACAGAAGTACACGATAAGACTGAATTACATTATCATTGTGCTTTGTACGTTGAGTGCTTCGTTTTAGCAATATTTTCAAGGCAATTGATTCCATGTTTTCGGTAAAAAGATTGCATTTGGCCACTTTTATCCAGCGTGACAAGCGTCCATCCTTGCAGCTCTCTCATGTAAAGGGGGAGAGAGGCAATTTGTTTCGTGGAAAGCTCATTCTTCTTGATTCATTTGAGAGGGTATAGCTTTTTTGTCATGATCAGTAACGCAAAAGGGGGTAGAAGGTGGAGGAGAGTTGCTAAACTTTCAATGAAGCCCAGTGACGACCCTCCAACACGAAAAGGGAACCACTGACCGTTCTTCCTTACCCATCCATGCCCTAACAATAGAAAGCCCCCTTATATGAATTCACAGCATCGTAGCATATATCATACAGTATCATATAGTCTCAATTCAGGAAAAATAACATGTAAAATGCAGCCTCCAACTACTGCGCACTGTTATTACTATCAAAGAAAAATCACAAAATCTTTATAAAATAATAAAATAATAAATAATAAAATAAAAACAAAGAAACTCACCATTTGATGTTTCCTGACGAGAGTTTACGATTCCGTCGCGGTGAGATCGGGGCGACAATTGACGGAGCGGAAAGTTTGCGGGGCAGTTTCTCCACCTCAATTTCTTCCACATCCACGTCTTTCAAAATCTCRTCGATTTGATTATCCGGGATATCTGGAGGTAAATCCTCTTCGACGTCGTCGTCGTCCTGCAACGCAGTCTTGGGGCTGATGATTTGAGGTTTTTGTAGTTGTCTTGCTGACCATTCTGGTTTGTTTCTACTGGTTTTGTTGGATAACCTTATACCGGGCTTAAGATCAGCGGGAGTGTGTTGTCGCTTGACTTCTTTCTTCCTCTGCGACATAAGCACCTTAAAGCTCTCGTCCTCTTCCCCGACTATCTTGGGAGGTTCGTACTTGTATGATGGAGCGACGGGTTTCTTAGCAATGCCTCTTTGCTTCGAGTAATCTGTGTCCTTTGATTCTGTGTCTTTTGGTTTGTTGATGAGATTAAAAAGGTCGGCACTGGAAATCCTTCGTTTTCCTTCAGTTGGCTCCTTCTCCGCTGTGTCTACCTCGTCTTTTTTAGGTCTATCCCTCAAAGAAGGACCATATTTTTCTGACCCAGACCCTCGTCTTGTCAAAGGCACCGCTCCGGGCACAGATTTTAAATTTCTACGAAGATCAAGTTTAGGCTCCTGAGTATCTTTTTTAGCGAGTGACGATATTTTCCCTGTAACAGCGATGTTCATTTTCGGATTTATTCCTGTTTTCTTCAATTGGGACCTGAAATCCGTCTTTTTAGCTTGAAGCCCCGGCTGCAAGCCATCGATTCTGTGCGCAGGGGCTACGGCAGCGGTAGCGCCAGATTTCTCTTTCGCGTCACTGGACGGCGGTGGTGCATTCTCTATGTCAGACGTGCTTGACGTCGCACTGCGAGACGAAATCGTTGAAGCGTCGTCTTCAGAATCGATATCTTTTGGTTCTTTCTCGGTATTTTCAATCTCTATTGGCTCGTCAAGTCTTTTAAGTAAAGTATCGCTGGCAAGCTTCTCGATTGTGTATTCTTCTTTATGATCATTTTCTTCACTTTTACCACGTGTTCCACTTTTCTCAGTGTCTTCTTTCTCGCGTTTCAACTCGCCATTTTCCTTTATATGTGTTTTATGTTTTCCATCTGTTTTCTCGATTCTCGAGCTTTCGATATCTTCGTTCCTCTTTGCCCTTGTTCGCTCTCCAAACTTCGACGTTCGTTCTAAAACACTCGACTTCCCGTCTCTGCCTTTTTCCTGGCGAGAGATTGACTGGGATTTTTTGTCCTCTTCAAAGGCTCTCTTTTTTAGTTGAGCGACATTACCTAACGTATGCCTAGAACTAGTCCCTATGAAAGACAACATACCCATTTAGTTAGAAGTAGGATCTTTTTTTGTCTACTAACCTCTGCGATCCCTTGGGGGGTGCAGTAGTCTTGGCTTTAGTTGGCGTGTCTTTGACTCCGTGTCTTTGCTTGGCTAAGTACAAATTGGTTCAAAGTGAAATTTTCAGTTGAGGGCGGGGTGGGGTGGTGGAGTGGTGGTCCCATCCACCCATCGAAAGTCGTGGGATACAGTCATAACATATAGAAGCATACGAGCAATGACTGAAGTTAAATGACCCGGCCCTGTTTGTACGAAAGTTTATATGGCACTTTTTCTGTAAGCGCGGATTCTTGTGTTGCGCAAGGTAGGTCAAATATCGTCAGCCCTAAAGAAATCATCATCATCCCTCTTCCCTTAAGAACGCGACAACGATCTGAGATTTACGGTCGGGGCAATATCGATTACCGTGAATGACGTCAAACGGATGGGTTTACGTCTCATATATCACGTCTTCTCGCTAGGAGACCTAAGGTCATTAGCGCACGTCTTTCGTCATGTCTGCAATATTTTTAGCCTAAAACTCATATCTTTAAGTACTACTTCAGATAAAAATTTAGCGATAAGTTTTATCTTAAAGACTGAGAAGGCCAAATAGGGACATAAAGTTGCACCAACGAATAGCCTATTGAGGAATGCAAAGCTCCACACGGAAAATCTTTTACTTTATCTTTTCTAGTGGGCTATAGATTTAGCGCAGCCAATCAAAATGTAGRATTTCTAGTAGTGCAGTACTTTGCGCATGCGGTCATTCTGTTGCGCACATGCGCGCGATTCATATAAATTGTTTACCGGCGCATGTACCGTTACCGTATCCTTTTGATGGAAATGTTCTGAAAAACGGTTTATTCGGTGTGGCACGCGAGGCATCCAATCACAAAGCGTAGTTACGGTTATGGTAAGCGGTGCGGTATTGCTACAGTAAGATTACGAATTTGTCGTATTGTTTCTCGGCAGAAAAAATACTGAAATCTAATTATTTTGAAAAGCGATTATTCAAATTAATGCCAGATTTTAATGCTACCCGATAAACTCGAAATACATGCAAAATTTTTACAGTTTTTTTTACCCTTCCTCAATATAAAACACAAGAAAAAGAAATGACTGCAAAAATACCAAACGCATACAACTTAACTCGAAAGTTTCAAAATGGCCACCACTGCATACTTTCCTTTAATTAAATCACGTTAGTAATCTGTATCTGTTTTTSTCCTTGAATGTAAATAATTCATGCGCGAATTTCTGTATTACATACAGTAGGCGTGCACAAAAAACCTCGAGTCTCAAGTTAAGTCTAAAATAAAAGCAATTATTTTGTTTTGMAACTAAGAATCACTCACCTCTGTTGACCTTTACCTTTCTAATTTGACCTCGCAGATGTTTTCGTACTTCAAAGAACTTTAGTGGCAAATCCTTAAGCTGTAAAAAAATCCCAAAAATGCCAGTCAGTGAATTTAGATTAATAGGTTAAGAAATAGGCTCATCTGTTCATAATAACATGCATATGTTCACTTGTAATTATGGATGTTCAACAAACCCTATTGCCCTGCCCTTCCTTCAAGGCTTATTATTTCTTTCATAGCATGAGTGATCCTAAAGATAAATATCTAAGCATAGGTAAYATAATATATATCCTTTTTCAATATTCATAAGGTAAAGACTGTTGCAACATATTATAGTGTTTTCATATCATTTTGATATAGGATCATTGCTTTTATGTTTTCCTTATTGATATAGAGTAAAAAAAATTTTTATCTTTTCTATCTCAAAAAATGAACAAAGACTAAAATGAATATTTAAAAAAAGCACTTACAAAAATGTGAAAAAATAGATAGGAAAAATTAAAAAAAGAAAAAAAAAAATTTTTCCCCCATAGTTTGCTACATTACTTGTCAAAAATAAATAAAAAGAATGTTAATAATTTCATAATATGGATTTTGAATTTCTACAACTTACTGTATTCTCTAAGAAGTCTAAATCATCGATCTCCCCAATGTCATTTTCTGTCAAATCTTCAGGGTTTTTCTTTAGGTAGAAAGGAACATCCCCATCTTCCTGGTCTTCTTCAGGTTGCTCTTCTTCTTTCTCTGGTTCCTGTTCAACCTCTGGTTCTGCTTCAGCCTCTACTTCAGGTTCCGGCTCGGCTTCCGGCTCTGGTTCTGGTTCCGGTTCAGGTTCCAACTCTTCTTTTTTGACCACGACATCTTCTTCACTCTTTATCACATCACCATTTTCAACTATTTCTGTCTTTGTTGTGCGTTTTTCTGTTGTGGTAACTCCATCACTGGTAGTTGTGGTTGTCCTTTCTGTTCTCTCCTCTCTCCGTCTCCTTCCTCCACGACCAGTTGGTTCAGCTTCTAGAGCCTCTAAYTTTTGCTGCCTCAACTTACGAAGCTTTTGTCGTATTTCTTTYCTTTCTTCAAAATCTTTGGAAGCTTCAAGCTAAGCATGAAAAGATTTTTCTTTTACATTCATAAATGAAATTATGATAAAAAAATAATTTCTACATAACTAATAATTTTATTAATTAACAAGTTGATACCTATGTGGATCAAATTCTGCAAAAAAGTTAATAATGAAAGACATTATAAAAATTATTTTTGTGTGATTAAAAATGGCAGTGCCAAGATGGCAATCAACAAAAACAAAAACGTTATAGATTAAACAACCAGTTTACTCTAAAGTACAGGAGTGGTGGAACCAGGGAGGCCGGGGGGCATGAGCCCCCCCACGAAATGATGATGAACCCCCCCACAAAATATTGGTTCACATGAAATATAAATGCATAGATTCGATTTTTATTACTGTTATTAAATTATTGTTGTGATTTTTTGCAGTGCCCCCCAAAAATTTTCAGCTTCCGCCGCCCCTGAAGTAAATACTAGTAGAGTTTAAGTCAACCTCAAGCCCTTTGATAAGGCCTTATGACCCAGGTATACTGAACTATTGTTTACAATAAAAATGATATCCTTATTAATATACCTAGATTGTTTTGATTTGTCTGTTAGTTTGTGATTACATCTGTAAAGGCTGTTATTGATGACAAAACAGCTTTAGTATCCCCTTTGTACACCAAACCATGGCACACTCAGTAACATTTCATATCTGTACATCTGGCATTTATTTATTCATAAATTAGTGTCCAATTATTCCTCAATCTATCGACTCTCGGCTAATATGGGATGATCAAGAGATGTGATAATGTAATTCCTTTGTTTTTTTTGTACTTCAAAGGTACGAATGAGGTAAATAAAATTAAGTTTATTTCAATGATGCATAGGGCTATATATTCTTTATAATTTGAACAATGAAGGAAGTTGGAATTTTTTTAGATCATAAGACAGCTGTTAAAGCTAGGTTTTAACTAATAATGTCTGAAGGTCACAGAATATTCTAGGAAATGTTTGGTTCATTTAAAATCCCTTTTATGGAAACTGTGACAAACTGTTGAAAAACTGTGTTATGACATACTTAGTTTCAAATGTAAACATTTTCCAAACTCTAGCCTCTAATTTCAATACAATATTATGGTTATAAATTTTCTAATTGAAGTTTAGTTTGAAGGTTKTATAATGATGAATTTTTGAATATTTTCTGTCACTGTCACCAGATGCTGTATTGGRAAATGTGAACTTCCTATTTGTGCAAATTGCAACCAATTACAAACAGATAATGTTACAATTATTGTATGGAAGGTGAGAAAATGCTTAAGAATAGAAAGCCCAAATTGTGACCATATTGTTTCTTATAAACAGTAATTCTGTGTTTAACAGCTTGCTTTATAAATAAACTTATTGAATTTTTATGCAAATTWATAAGGGCAAGGCGAAATTTCCTAAGGAAATATTATATTGAAAGACTATATAATCAAGCTATTATCAATATATTGTAGGTGTTCTTAAATCTTTATTTTAATTGAGTGTGAAGATAAATATCTTTTGTGGTGATCAAGGATCAATCAAACTAAAAGAAAACCCAATTGTGTTAAAATATATTCTCTTTATTAGACAGTGCTGTCTATCAAAGCTTTTCATTTTGGGAAGATCAGACTACGAATAAAACATACCGGGAGTTTAACGATAAGCCCCAAATCTGTTTTCTTTTAGGCTAGTAACAAAACCTTTTATGAACAGTCCACTAGTGAACAACAATAAAAAAGTAGTCAAGAAACAACTAGATTTCTTCAAAACCAATAAACAGTGTATTTTTAACATATAAACAAACTTCTGTTATTTTAAGGAATAGTTTGCTTGCCATTTATATACCGGACAGAGTATTCTCTCCAATCTAAACAACGTAGGCATTTTAAATATAATACATAATTGTGCATTATATAATAATTCCTTTTTAACAATAGAAAATGTCTTGGTTTTTGGTCAGACATTGTCAACTCCGTGGGATACAAAGCAACTTTGAATATAATATTTCCCTGTGAGATTCGACCTCTCGCTCATGGGATTACTACAATTAATCTGGAAATTCGACAAAAATAAACTTGAATTCCTGTTGAAAACACAGCAGTTAGCTGGGAAACTTCCAAAGCTATTTCTAGTATTTGTAGCAGTTAGTTATTTCATCACTGTGAATACCAAAGGATTGAGCTATTAAAGGTGAGGTATTTGGTTTTAAGCGTTTTGAATCTGTCCTCAGGTTTGACGTGCAGCAAGGCAAGCCTAGAAAACGTAAAATTTAATGCAGAAGCAGCTTTAACACAGCAAAATGATAAATAGAAGAGGTGTATTCTATGCCGAAAAGAAGTTTCAATGTGGATTTTTTGACGCAGTGGGGCCACGCGTACATAAAAAGCCGCCAAATAGCACGGTTTATAAACACAAGGGAGGAACTATACATAGTAAAACAGTCTGTCGAAATCCTAGCTTGAAGTAGTCCATGGAATATAACAATTGCATTAAATAGTAATGACTTGTAAGTACCATGTGGTGAAAAAATATTCTCAAACTTTTTCTGTAATTTTATCTCATTGTGAGTGTCCCAACGGAGTGTTCAAAAGGAATTTTTAGAATGAAGGATGTACATAATTTGTACAACACGTTCTTGACAGTTACGGTAAAATTATCGGAAAGACGAGTTCTTTGCACTAGATAATACATTCGACAATACAAGCCACAATGACAACACGACAATCTGTTTACAACTCAATCGAGATGTTCAATGCGAGGGAGACAAATGAAAGACAATGTTTGCTCTTGTCTTTAAAGGGGTACCTCTATATACATATTCCMAGATTACGAAGTTTTAAAAACTTGACCTAGCTTAACATGTTAATGAATCAAGGCTGTAGTMTACCTGCTTTTTCAAGGCGATTTCTTCTTCTTCCATGATCAAGTCTTTTATGTTTAATCACTTCTACTACACCTTTAGCTCTGTATCGGTGCATAAGGGTTTTGTAAATACAATGATTATATTTGACCTCATTCACGTGATTAGAATTCCTCGAATGACTGATCAGCCAATCAGTGCGTTCTTAGAACAATACTCGTCATATCTGGTAACAGAGTGTAAATCAGGGATAAAAAAYTCAATTGCAAGTTCATCGGTTTACTCTGGAAAATATCTATTTCGCCGTCACTTTACCCGCTCTTACATCCCTCCTTAAAAAGCTTCACTCGTTTTTAAAGGATAAAGTTGAAAGCCATTCGTAAATTGGAGGTTATTTCAGGACGTATCGATAGCAGAAATAAACTTGGGAGGCAGAGGGTAATTCATTAATTAAGCTTATTAGCAATAATAGTCACGCTCGTAAAAGAATCGTCAATTCTCTCTCACGCAAGRATGGCTCTCAAATCCTTCTCTAAAGCTTCCTATAATTATGGAGAACACTTAGGACCTAAGAGACTTGAATTCACTGGTTAGAAAAGATATWAAATCTAATTTAACAAAGCGCGCAKTAGTTTGCATGACTTCACACATTGTACAAGGTACGTTTGCGTGACTTCCGCTGCACTTGAGTTGCGAYGGTATTATCATCCATGTCATWTCTGTTACGTCAAATGTCAGAGCCATATTTACCATATATGTACAAACCATCTCTTTATGGGGACTTTATCGATTATCTTTAAATAGCGATATTTAAGATTTTTATACTTTAAATTAGCTCTCTCACATCCATTCTTAGAAAACAAAGATGATATTTTTAAAATCGCGGATATATTGATTTCGAGACCGCATTTTTGGGGAATTTTAAATATGTAAGGGTATTTGTGGGATGTAGTGTTTACAATCCGGTCAAGATTGCTGATGTTTGACTCAATCATCGAATTACTAAAACTTCATATTGGAATACTTATTTCTCATTCTTATTGCGCAAATAGGATAAAAAGCTCAGCTAGATTTATGTTCAACGTACGTTCGTCGCTTGTCTTTCTTTTCATTTCTTTTGATTTTCTCATAACTAAATGAATGTTAAGAGTCAATAGAAGGAAAAAAAACACAGTATCCTAGTGTAGTTTCCTATTGTGGTTGATTGCTTTTGAAGATTCAGGATATTCGCATGCCGTAACTTCGATGCGTTGACAAGGTGGAGCTGATTGCTTGTCCGACTAGCAATCGTTAGTAGTGTTTATATATATCTTAACGGGTGGTCTTTACCTATCTGCATTCAATGACCTGGAAACTGAAATCCGGGCACTCAAGCTATACAAATAACATTGTACCAAACTTCCAATGTTCAAATTTAAAATGTTGTTTGAAGAACGTTTTGATGGGACAGAAATGATAAAATTTTTATGTCGTTTCGTTCAGGTCCGGAAATGATAAATTTTCCTGTCCGTCATTCTAGTCACATGCACTTAAACTCATTCCATCATAAGTTAACGTACTGTTAGATCAACAAAAACGATAATTGGGTGGCAGTGATGAAGTCACGTCTGATCATTGCTTTGTTTCTACAATTATAAGGTATGGCATACTCTGAAACACAATAATTTATTACTCACAGGATTTAGCTTGGGTAGGCTAAATGGAAGGTGTGGTAGCTATAGTGGGGTGCATTGGGGGGCGGCGGTGGGGGGAGGGGGGAGGGGAATTGGGGGGTTTTCCGTTCATATTCAAGTGGCTGACCATGCATTTTTTGGTTATTAACAGCAGGGTTCAATGATGTACTGTGACATGACTCTTGTAGAGGTAAGTSAGTGATAGAGTTACGGATAAAGTGGGATACTTTCTGCTTTACTGAAGTCAAGTCGACTGAACAATATTCTTTAGTTTCGAGTGCATGAACATTTGGGTATGATTGACATCATAACATTGAAGGAGGGGTGGGGAGGTTGAGATGTAGGTGGGTAGTTTAACAGAGTTTTATTGGCAGTTTAGGACTTCAAGAAGTCCTCAGAAAAGGCTTCAGTCAGGTATTACTGCTGACCATTTCCGGCGCTTGGATTTTTAATTGACGGACCTTTGCGCATGTGTGCGTCCGGTGCGTAGCGATATAAACTAAAAAGATAAACAAGAGGTTAAATGAATGCAAATACACGCTTCTGGCTATTCTTACGGTTTCATTCCACGAAAATTAGAGAATAATATAGTTTTCAATATTTGCAATGTTCTCCCAGACTTGAGACTCACGTTCAGAATTCTAATATCGTATTGTTTCCGTAGTGTAGTGGTTATCACGTGCGCTTCACACGCGCAAGGTCCTGGGTTCGATCCCCAGTGGAAACAGTGCTGATTTTTTTTTCTCTTATGAATTTTTACTAATTTTTGTAATGAGCAGGATTGAAAATTTTAAGTTTTTTCCCCAACATACCTACACAAACTATATCACTTTAGTCAAATCTAACTAGCAGTCTATCATCCATGCTGCATTCTGATTGGATGAGCTACTAGTAGGCTATAAGTAATAGTCTACTAGTTTATAGCAAAAAGTGTCAGCTTTGAAAGCCAAAAAATTGAAGTCTCGCTGCATTAGTTCCCCATTCTGTCCTGGGGGTTTGATAGACCTTGGATTGGGCGTAACATCTTCTCATTCCAGACTACATGTCATTCCCTAGAGTATCATTTTTCTGTTTAATGGTTGCGCTCGATTGCACATGAGAAGACACATGAATATGGATACAACTCAAACAAAGAATCTTATTCTCAAGGGAATGACATGTGGTCTGAAATGTTAAGACATTAAACCAGAGCCAAAGAGGTATATTTACTAGTGCATTAGCAACAGACCCAAGTGACCTTACTTTGAGCTTTTTTTTATTTTTATTTTAAGAATTGTTACGAATTTTTTTTGTCAATGCACCTTCTTCCAAGACAACAAATTGCTACATCCTGCCCTGAATGTCTCGTTCAAATCTGGCATCAAAATCATGCAACTTRTCATGCAACATTGTTTCTTGCAAATTACAGAGCAAAAGATTCTCTCTACTCTTTTCAAAAATGACAAATAATTGTTACAAGTGCAGTAGTAATAGAAGCAACATTTGCTAGGCAACTTGCAATGCAACAAAATTGCAAAATTATTAAATTGCATAATATTGCATAACATGTACAAGATGTATGCCAGCAATGTGTTTTTCCTTGTACAGTAGGATGCTTTAAGGTCGATTTAGACAGTACGATTTTCACCTACAACTATCATATACAACACGCTCACATCTTTCATAGGCCAGTTGTAGGCTTGATTTACACGTTATGACTCAAGTTGTAGGATGGTGTGAGCATGTTGTGTACGATAGTTGTAGGCGAAAATCGTACCGTCTAAACTGGCCTTTAGAAATTGTCTTTGGAAATAGAATGCCTAAACCAACAATACAAAGTTAAAAGCAATTCTACAATAGCAGCTCAAACTTATGTTTTTGTTACACTGCCAAGCCAAGAGAAAATCACACCATATATCTCACACAACCAAAACAGTAGTAACATYTTGAAACAAAAATTATGTTACAGCATATAAACATGATATCACAAGCAAACCTAAATTTCCAAACTATGGAAACATCATTAAAAATGCTGGTTATTCATAAATACATTGAAAGAGTTATGGTGTGGACAAACTAACTGGGACCACTTACAAAATTTAGAGATGAGATTTATACAGTTTGGTATGGGATTTTGCCATCATCTATACAGCAATGAATTTTCCAAATAATTTAATTTCAAGGTTTAACACTTTCCTCTAAAGAAGATATTAGTACAAGAAAAGTGCAGACATGATAACTTTGCCGCTGTGACAAAGTAGGTTTTAGTGGACGTCAATCAAGACATTTCCATGACATTCCATAGCTATATGCACTTGAAAACGTTCYGTTTTGTGACAATGTTATGRAAACACTTTGACTGACTTCAAACCAAAACCCTRTTTTGTTATGGTGGCAAAAATTGTATGATTTCTTTAGCATGTGTGATTAGAAAATGYGGTATGTTGGAATGCATTATTCTTATCTTCTACATGTAGCTATTCCATATATCGATATGTCACAGAAATYGTATCTGCATTGTAAGTTAATTACTGTTTAGGCTGCGTTCATAATGTAGTGCAGGGGGGAGGGGGGGGCAGGTAAAAATTTGAAATGTCCAGAATAATTCTTAAAACCCCCCTTAAAGTCATGCAAAAAAATATGATCCCCCTTAGCAAGGCTTATAGCTTCTTCCAAAAATTGTGCATCCCTCCCCCATTTTTCTGATAAAAATTTGCCCATCCCCCCTTTTTGCTACCAAAATTTTGCACCTGCCCCCCTCTAGCTGCCATACATTATGAACGCAGCCTTATRAAAAGGTTAAAATGATCATGTYGTGTTGTGCTGTTCATTTTTTGTTTCCTTTTGTCTTGCTTTCAMTTTTGTCCTGTTCATCGACCTTGATCATGGCAAGTGGTTTTGATCCTTTAGTAACAGCGTGTCCTGCAAGCTCATGTTCGATCTTTGAGTTTATAGCTTTTTGTAAAGACTGTAATAAACAAAAATTGACAAACTACATTCCATACTTGTTTYGTTTTGAAATATATCAATTTCTAAGCATCCTAACCTAACCCAGGGCTGTCAACTATCCCGGATAAACCCGGAGTCTCCAGATTTTGGACCATATCTCCCGATCTCCAGATTAGAGTCTCAAATCTCCCGGAGAATCGCAGAAGCTGACCATATCTTGTGAGACTCGACTTTCACAAMCATAAAATTYCAATTAYTTTGTGTTGTTTGTGTTATTTTACATCGCTAACAAAATCAAAACATTCCTCATAAACTGTTATYGYAAGCAGGCCATTGAAACTATAAGTGATAATCTGATTGGTCAGAAATAAACCAATCACATCAAATGTTACAAAGTGAATGATGTCTTTTCGCGTGCTTTTTTCCGCTGTGAYGTCATGTCCCTTCCCTATCAATTCTCCAGATTTGAATATCTTGGGGGTTGACAGCCTTGCTAACCATGGCAGTAAATGACCACAGTACAGACTACAGTGTAAAAAAAGAAAAAAAGAAAATAKCCATACCTTTTTCAACATTGCTGCTTTTATGTGCCTCTTTTTCTTTGGAGCAATTGACTTTGCTATTAAGAAATGGAAAGTAATATCTTATTAGAAAGTGTTAATCGTATATATATGAAGCTATATACAATGGAATCTTGCCAAACATTATCTATCTACATCTATCTAATCGTCTTGATTAAAAACAGTTTATTACAGCTGTGGGACACAAACTATGTTAAATGAATAGAGTACCTCCTTTCCTAGGTCCAGAGGCTTTCTTGGAGGAGTTCTTTTGAGGCTTTTTGCCACCTTTCTTCTTGATCTGTCCTTGTGCCATGCTGTTTGATCAATGCTCCTTCTCTCGCTCAGCTGGTCAGCGGGAAACATAAACAACTCGACTCAGGCTGTTTTACCGTCTTTTGTTTTCCACTAGGGAGGGGTCAGTATAGAAAATTGAAATCGTCGTTTCCTAATTTTAAATTATAATAACTAGTCATTCAAAATTGTTTTTTTTAGATTTTAATTAAAACTGAAATGTTTCTCTTGATTCATTGATTTGAAATATGATTGTTCTGGAATTTTGAAAATTATAACAAAATTCCTCCTACAGTCCCTCCCCCTGATAAATAACCCTTAGTTATTCATGTTAGGTTAGGCGCCATATTTGAGAAGGAAATAAGAAACGATTTCTGCTTTCTTCTATCATTTCGCATCTAAGAGTGAAAAGTCCTCAACGAATTTAATTAGAATTCGTTTTTTTTTTGTCAAAAATGTTTAATATTTAGTTATCATGGTGGTACTTCGGGGAATCTAGGCTTTTTGTCGTTATTTCTTTCTATCGTTAAAGGATGTCTATGCAGAGAGAGTTGAGCTCTTTTGCACTGTCTCCTCAACACATCCACAAACTCACAAAGGCTGGATATGTGGTCGTAGAAGACCTAAAAGGAGTGACCCCGACTCAACTAAGTGATGGTAAGWGGGGGAAATGAGATTTTTTCATCAATTATTTTATGTTGGCTTGACAT